GAAAGGCCTAGGACCCCTGCGGGATCTTTCCAAGGCATGTGTAGTAGTCATAGGCATTATTGTTGATCTGTTCGTGGGTCATGCTCCTATCAAAGGCCAAATACCGCCAGCCTGGAAAGTCGAACAAGCTTCATGTTAGACACGAACCCGATTCTAAATGACGCAATATACTAACATAAGTAGTGCAATAGCTCTCTCTTTCTCTTGTCTACGGTGACACGATAAGTAATTAGGGACCTATAGAGGTTCTGCTTTCGCTACTCGTTTCCCTTAGTTATACATGTCACGTAGCAGTGTCTGCATCAGTCGGCTACCATCTGTGATTATAAGGGTTATTTAAGCGTAGTCTGCTTCAGGGGCAAGAGGAATTTTCCTTCTATCGAAGTAGTCTATTATTATTAAACCCATTGATTGCTATCAGTTAATCGATTCAATGTGACACAAGCTAATACAATTTCAATTTAAACTATCTATGCATATGGCTAAAGGGGCCAAGAGCTCTCACTAACTGAGTCAGACTACAAGTTCTGCGGAACTCAACGGAGAAAAAGAGAATGTCAATCTCAAGTTGTTTTCTTTACTTCGAATGTTTGGGGGGTTCAGAGCACATAGTGGCTCGCACTCTAGTTCTGTGAAGTTGGTTGTCCATACTGAAATCTTACTGTATTTGCGTTAAAATTTCAGGATTTTTCAGTTGAAAAATTGTTCTAGTTGTTAAACACACCTACAGTGTTTCGCATAGCCATCGCACATGTCCTGTAGCGCGGGTTTATCTGTAGGACAGATAACCGCGACCATAGCCCCATCAATGCAATGATAGTACCTGTAACTCAGAAACGTTATTTGGTCAGTTCAGCTAAGGTGCTCAAGCAATACAGCTGCTTATTATTTATGGCGTAACTTAGCCGAGCAGTTGGAAATATTTTCTTGATTTGCTCGTCTATCCTATCTATTTAACATAATCGTTTATATCACCGCATAAACAATACTCACTGGGAGGCTTCCTCCGTAACCGCGTTTCATGGCTTTCTAAATCTCGATGAAGAAACGTACAAACAATTCACATCGAAAAGTCTACAGAGGGTAGCTTCTACCTGTACTATCTGTTAACAGGCTCTAATAATAATAAAAAAAAAAAGACCCTTATTCTTAAGTACTCTGAATCCTCGTCAGTATGTTGATTTGTCCAAAAAAATTCGTCAAACAATTTGCGCTAAATTCTAGCCAATACTTTTATATAGTATACAATATTTTAATACTTGTCAGTTTTTTTGACTATAACAAATATGCCCGATACTATTCACAATTGCCACACGATTTTCTTACGGTATTCTCTTCTCGCTAATGATATGGATGATTCGTAAAGAATGGGCTATTGATAAAGTTTTTACCGAAGAGAAAGCTCGAGATGCGTATCATTTTGCAATCATGCGATAATGGAAAAGGAAACGTAATACCCAAGTTCTGTTCACGGTACACACTTCTCAAGCAAATTGGCAAATTCAGGGATAGACGTATCTGGGACTATGGATTTATTTCAACCCTTATTTCCCGTACTATTTTACTTTGATGCCTAAGCAGAAAAAGTCAAAACACCGTTCATATATCTATTATACATTTTCTAAACTGCCACGGCGATTCGTTTGATAGAGATGAGAACTTGAACACCTTTGCCACAAAAACATTGCGTAATACACTCTACGGAAACTCTGACGGCATTACGTAATGTTACATTGTCACGCGACTCCACGTTCATAAGCTTGACCGCTTTAGCCGTTCTAGTAGCTGTACGTAAGCAACAATTTCCGCGGTCAACAGAAGCCATTTGATTGAATCCCGCACGATCTGTCAATGGTACTGTCTATTCCTTATTGTTTGTCCTTAACGATAAATTTTGACGTGCTTGCCGGATTTCACACACCGATGCATCATCACACGCAAACCCAGCCGTTTGTCCTTGTCGGTCTTTTAAGGGGTCGCTTACGATGCGTTTCGAGTATCGTGCTTGCCTATACGTTTAAGTTGAACGAAATCAGAGCTAAGGACGAAGCGAACTGCACCGTGCTTTGAACGTTGCGTGAGCACGAGCATTTCTTGCAGAGTACTTTGGCCGACGGATATTTTCGATTAGATAGATGTTGGGTACGGAAAAATTACAAACATTTTAGAGTTAGAAAAGAAGTTCCTTACGACAGATTCGTCTGCATTTTTGGACCGAAAGATTTCTTCAACTACTGGTGTTAGAAGTTTCCCAGTACGACTAGAGATGACAGAGTACGGCAACGTTATGACGGGATAAATGACACAACAACGACTCAAGTGAAACAATTGAGTAGCGACCTTGCCAATAACCATTTGTGTTTTCAGACCCGTAGCCGTTTTCACGGAGTGTTGATAATGCGCATGATTCCTACCAGGCCTCATACAGTACAGCGCCACGCACATCAGGATACCGTTTACTGACTCGGCTTTCGAAAGCTTTGTCCCGTTTTCAGCGTCCACACCACTTTTTTCATATAAGGACCTAGTCTGAATTTTCTTTACCTGTCACTAGCATTTTTTGCCACTAGAATACGGCGTACGAGGATACACTCGCATTCATGTCAGAGATGAAATTGCTTTACAAAGCTAGGCTTTAGGTCCTGACAACAAAGAACCCAGACACATACGCATTCTTGTGACAGAAGCTTAAGCTATCTATATGTTATCGAATATCATTAGGCCGGTGTAAACCAAGCGAACATTTCAAACTACCATCATTTAGATTTAGCGGAATCATCACGATATATTTAGTTTCTCGTGCGCGACTTGTTTCTGGCCCCCAAATGACATGTTATCTTTCAACAGTCACAGCTTATGTTGAACAAAATTAAGATGGGCCATAACAAAACAGCAAAGCATGCTGGACACTACTATACATAGGGCAATAAGGAACAGGCCCAAACGCTGTGCTCCAACTAAAAGTTTAATTTACACAGAGGACAGGGCTCTCACCGGCATCGAAAAAGGCCACCTCATTGCGAAACACATGGAGACATATATACGTTACTATCCTTCACCCTGGTGTTGTATACCTCTACACGGTCTAAATTCACTAAGCCTATTGGACCTATGGAAGCAAATAATTTCCTGGTCACGCCGCACTTCCTTTAGAAAAAAACATCTTCACACACAGGATTGTGATGCAAATTTGGCAAAAACGAATCTGAAATTGCAAAACAAAAATAGTGAATCCGTAAATAATTTACAAATGATATTGTGACTTTAGCTGTTTTTATAGACGATACTTCAAGCCGTGTATAGATTTGGGCACTAGCTGGGTATTGCACGGTACCAACATTTAGTTAAACCTTTGCTAAACAGAAATAGTTCATTAAACAGATAACATTGGTAATAGATAACAACATGAACGACAAATTGAACAGTCAAACTGGGCACATGATTGTGCTTTATTGATCTCAACGATTACGATTCTGGTACAGATGTCCCACTCAGTGATGACTCAGAAGGTCCAGCCTGGTACTGAAAACAATCAACATAACGATATAGCTTTTAATTCCAATGCGTATCACGTAGCTTATGAGTCATAACCCTGCAACGTACTTCACTAGATATAGTTAAAGACAATTTCGTGAACAACGAGCGGCTAGTGGACTCTGGGAGACGAGTTCCCTTCAAGGCGTTCTAAATGACAGAGCATTACCTTATCCTGAAGCTAACAGTTCCAGATAACGTCATAAGTACATACGCAGCAGTACTTTTGATGATCGATTGACGTCAAGGACCTACTATCTTAAAGCCTCTGTTTTGGCTTGAGAATCATTTGAATCCCTGTTTATGGTGGACACTAATCAAAATTCATCTAGAGTGTGTGACTGAAGATGCCTCATTGTTGAAAATTTTCGACTGGAAGACCTTTGTGTTACATGCGCATGTTATGATACGGTTTCACATAATCTGTTTGCTTGCCAGTTACAATCGATGCTAAGCTTGCTGTGACTTGCGAACCATGGAAAAACCTATCGCGGAGTCCGCGGCAATCGTACCCGTTGCCACTATCCATTTCTCTATGTAATTTTAAAGTCGATGAATGTGGGTCTGTCTATTTGTCTGATTGGCACAAGATCTGATTGCCGAAGCTGTCGCCGATTCCCAGAGCTGCCCATAAACGCGAGGGATTTTGGGGACGGGCAGAGGCGTGTGTCTAATCTGCGTCGGTCGGTCAAATCGCGAGTCGAAATCCGCGAGCTAACTTTGCCTTCATCGCAGAGTTGTGAAGCGAACAAAGCAAAACCGACGCGAATACCGCCGGTGGCACGTTGATGTAATACTAAAACTTCATACGTCTTTTTATTGGTGTGTAACACGAGTTGCTCCGCAGCCTGTGTTGTTCCTCTGAACCGCCATTAGACGAGAGAGAATCGCCAGATAGAAAAGGTTCTCGAATCGGTTGGCAGACAATACGCCCGCAGCACCGTATACGTTATCGAGAACGAGTGGTCGAACGGGCTGTATACCTCTCTGCCGAAATGGAAAACTTTTTGATAATAAACGCATTTATGCTAAGAGATGCAAGGATAGAACCACTGAGACGAACGTTTGCGATAGCTACTGTAAGCTTTACGGAAAACTTGCATTATAAATCTTCTAGGTATGGGATTGTAAAATGGGAAATACGAAACTTTCGTATTGTTTGACAACATATATTTTGAATAGGACTGAAGCAAATCATCAGGTACCTTCGCACCTTGGCCGACCTGGCAACCGACGTCTAAACGTCAGACTTGCAAGAGGAACTCGCAGGCCACGAAGTTTTTCGCGGAACCAGGTTAGCTTGGGAAGAATATTTTGAACTAAGGCCATATTTTACTGGAAGTAGCCTGCTTGTGCAATGGTCAGAACTGCATTGAAGGGGCTAAACGACAAGCTTAGTTAAGAAATATACGAAAACATTCCGCGGTAAAGTCCATTTGTCATTTTTACATCCTAAAGGTATTAACGCATCGGCCTGTAGCATTGCAACTGAAGTGACTAGTAACTAAGATGAAAAGGACCCTGCGTTTATCGCAAAAATGTAGAAGTGCGTACAGGTATTTACAACAAAGGCGGCATCAAGTATCGTAAAACATTTTCAAATACAAACAAGCAGTTATAAACAAATCGGGTCTTGCCCGAAATACAATGGACCTTTTAAACGAAGAATGAGGGTTAGACAAAACAAAAATCGAACATTGAAACCGTTTCAGTGTGCCATTTTACCTTACGATTTATAACGATGCTACGTAATAACCGCAACCCTCTGCACGTGTTACCGAAATAGCTGGATTTCGTTGTTATTCTTCTCGCACTCCTAGCGTATAAAGCAAGCCAGCAACATGGTAATATTGGTATTATTACAATTGTTTGTTTATGTATCAATAGTATACTTTTCTTTATGGACAAAGGGGACCGTGTCCTTGGGCAACCCCCAAGACAGCTACCTGATGTTATAAGATTATGTAGATATTGTAATAGCCTTGTAGAAGAACGGACGCGATGGCATCTCACAGCCTAACGTGTCTACCAGTTTTTATATGGCACCCCTATTTTTTTTTGAGTCTATTGATCAACTGCTGCCGTTATGTGCGAAAAAAAAAAAAAACAAAAAACAAAAAAAACTATTCAAGAATAAAGCTTTTATGAAATTTAGTAATTTAAAAACAAGATGTGGGTAACTGTGGATATTTAAACTTTGACCGGTTTCTAGCGAACTTTTGTCCTGTTTTGAGAATAGTTGCTTCGACATGTTAATGACTTCAAATCGTTATCTTCACTTAGAGAGATTTTGCGTAAAACGTATGTTTGTTCGTTTTTCATTTGTTTTAAAAAGCTAGGAACGGGCTTCGGGTGAGCCCGAGGCGGAAAATGTCTAAGTGAATGAAGAGTGATGTTCTACTTCAGCCGATAATAACGGTTGAAGCTAGCCCAGTTTCGTTTTGAGAAAGCTCTTCGGATCTTTCGTTCGCAGTTTTCTTCCTTTCAACGCGTTGAAACCTTTTCCTATATGTGATTCTCCTAGATGACTTCTCTCGACGGCCTCCCCTGTCATCTGTCATTTCTGAAAGGTTGAAGCTTTACCTCAGTTGAGACAGCGAGAGTACACTTTTGTGTAACCAAAAAATTGAAATTCAATTGTCTAACAATAAATATATTCACTGTCGAAAATAAGCCTTAAATCATACCTAATTTGAAACCAGCTAACGAGCGGTCGTGCCAACGCATGAAGGCAATGAGTCAACGACAGGCCAAAACTTGGAAAAAAATTACTGGTTTTAAAATGAGTGTTCGCGTGAGGCAATGTACGCCATCAGCGCCGTTTCGCGAATAATCATCCTACTTAAATCCATTGAACTGCTAAACGTCGAATAATATCTACCTGGAGCTACGTGTCATCCTATCAATTGTACCTCAACAATCTAAATACTAAAGCAGCGACCCTGCTAAAGCTTTTTGCTTTCCCATTTCTGGCAGATATGTTGAGTGAGTTAATGGCTAAGGAAGTTGTTTACTATTATGTAAATCAATAATAATAATAATAAGTTATAGAAAGTTAGATACGCAGCTAGAATAGAGAGCATGTTTCGGAGCCGAAACAAGCTGACATGGGCCTGCCGATGGCCTACATGAAAGAGGACAGCTCGGAACGACTTTTTCAAAGGCAACCGATTTTTGCAGCGGACAATGACCAGAAGTAAGTGATAGAAATTAAACCGGAAACTTACTGCTTGCCGACATCATTTCTTTTTTGCGACTGATACGTGAAACCCAAACCTTCATATGCTCCAACTGCAAGCCCCCTTATGCGATTTCCACGCTGCGAACTAAGTTTGTTTTTCAAAATCTAGAAGGACTTTATTAGTAAACTAGCCAAGTTGAACTAAAAGCTCGTCCTGATGAAGGCATATTCTATGCATACGCAGGCATGCTTGTGGACGTATTTAAACATTCAAAACTTAAATGCAGTCTTATACTAGTCACGGCCTCTTTCTTTAGCACATCTGGTTACTCTATTGAATTATTCATGGTTATCTCATATATATACCTGGAGCCGTTCTGGGTCACCGAGGGGTGGGCCACCCCTGGAGCGAGCTCGATGTTTTTCTGGAAAGCATGCGAGGCGTGCATGTTGTAAAGACCCCAAATGCTGTTCATCAATTTGCCATTGTAACGAGCTGGCGGGGGTACAGTTGCTGACACTGAAATTATTCGGTATGGTGGGCACGGATGTAAAAACAGATCTTCTTGCACTAATAATATATGTATATTATGCGCAAGTGGTTAAAATATCAGCCCTATGACCAATTTAAATGTGTAAATAAATTCATCTCTGTCGTCAGAAATCAAACATGTTCGTCAAGGATTTTGCCTATAACGAGTATATCCTTATAGTAAGTATTATTAGTTGGTTTGTCAATTGATACGCGACGGATTCAGGGTTAGTTGGTGTGCCAAAAAGAGTGTCTTACCTTTTACCGAATAAGAGCGAATTATAAGTATAAGAATGTCCGACACTGAAAATTCGCCGGCTGTGAACTCAGCACGCTATACATTTCATAGAAAAACTACGACATTTTACTTCGAAATAGCCAATGAAACTAGCTAAGATGCTTTTTGTTGTTCAACTTTGCAGAAGCCAACTCAGATGAAAATCGAACCATACCTCTCACACCTTTCATCGTTTGACGCCTGACACCACTCACCGTTCGCGACAACCGCAAGGACGTCAAATCGAGACTCCATTACGTAATCTTTGTAGGCGTGCTCAGCTATCTCTTCATATACAACCGACCTGGATATTAACAGGAAAACAGGGCTAAACAGGCAAAGCACTATACGGCTTGGAAATAGTCATCACCTTTTTGTCCTGTTTACTGAACCGAAATAATGACGCCTCTGCACATTTGTGAGGATTTCATATATGCTAACATGTCTCCTTAAGCATTTACCATATCGTACATCAGGATGGGTGTCGTGCTCTGAGCAACGGGCGTGTGCTAATAAAATTCGGACAAAATACATCGTGTCCGTTACTTTCAACACGACTCCTAATACGGTAATGAAAATAAAGCCGAAATCAGCAAACTCACAGCATCCGTCGATAACCACCCGGTACTTTACTTATAAGTAGCAGTATAAAATAAGCGCTAGGCAAACAATTGATCCACAGTTGGGCTTCGTGTTGGCGGAGACTATGCGACCGTCGACAGTAAAACCCTAGTCCCACTCTTTGGTCACTTCACTCGTTCAGACTTATAGAAAACTATGTATTTGTCCACTATTTATTTGAGGTACTCACGTGTGTTAACAGCGGCCTCTGCGTTCAGGGCGTTACCGGTCGTGCCACTGGTGGTCTCGTTAGCTGCGTCGAACGCGCCTGCCTGCTTTACATGCTCAACAGCCTTGTACGCCATGACCGAAATCAACGCCATACTCTCGTGATAATTCACGTCTGGAAACGGCGAAGCCAACGCTAACGGAAGCACAATCGCTCGCACTAGACAATTGCCTGCGCTAAGAACAGCAGATGTAATCACGTTTCTAAAATACGAGAAGAGGACAAAAAACAAGGAACGGCATTATTTACAATTCAATAGTGTTTTACATTAAAATTATGATTTGGACGAATTATTTGAATTCTCTGTTCATTTGGAAAAAAAAACTGCTCGAAAGCCTATTCTTATAGAATTTCTATAATCTACACCTGCATAGACAGATAAAAGCGTGCACGTACGAATCAGACTTGAATACTACAATGTAATTTTGCGATCGGTGCTATCACGGTACTAAACAATAATGGATACTATTATTATTGTTTGTTCCACGGTCTAAATGCATTAGCGGCGTGTTAGCAAAAAAAACATGATGAAATTGGAACGTAGCTCAGATCAATTTTTAGGTTGCCATTGCTCAAGAACGCTTTCCGATGTATGGGGTGCTCGCGGTAAACTGGTCGAGAAGGTTGTCTTACCAGTTGGCATATGGGCAAACATCATTGCATGTGAGTGATAGGGGCATTACTATTATCTAATTTACCCTAATCACTACTTTAGTTCAGAGCGTAAACGCTAATAGGTCATGATCGAGGATTCGTTAGCGAAGTTCGAAAAAACAGTAATCATAAGGAGCGCTACTCTGTTATGCGTCGACTCGTTGAAATCTAGTTAAAACGAAAAAGAGAATTCAGTACATTGAAAATGTCCGCTGGTGATAGCTGAAAGCCAAAGAATCAACAGTAGACTACGTACTATACCATTTTGGAAACATGTTCCTCTCTCTAAGATAACCGCTTATTTCTAGCTGAGAAATGCCAAATCGCCAGGAAAAGCTTCATGATTTCGAACGGGGTTCTTCTAACAATATTGGCTATAAACTGATCCTTCGCTAAATTGTGAACCTTCTTTTCCCGTCGTGATGAACGAATGGGCTGTTGTTATGTGTCAAGCATGGCGGACAAATGCATATCCACTATGACAGAAAGCTCACCAAACTGTTCTCCAACTCTGTTCGTAACAGCCTGTCGAGACGACTTCAATCAATGGCGTGAAAGAGAAGCTCTTGCAAGAATTAATCGGAGAGACGTTTTCTGAGAAATGGCTGGACCTTCTAAGGCTATCGTCAATTGTGCCGTCCTTAAATGGCGAGAGTCATAAGTCAAAACCGATTGAAGCGCGATCGCTACAATCCGTCTGCATTTTTCGTCAAAAGAAAGCTAGGCGAGTGTGTCCGCCTATGAAACGACACCACGATCATAATGTTGCGTAGTTCGTATTTAACGGCACATGTAACGGCGTCAAAGATACGTGCAGCAGGCGAAAAATGCGTCGCACAACGCAATATCGTGGACGTACCCGGTCTAAAACAGGCTTTGGAAAGGTACAATCGCCTCACCGACCCGATCCTTCTCGTTATGGTAGAACGATTCTGTATTAATGAGGCCGTGTCAAAGTGACACAGCATTATCGGCCTATCGCCGTTCACATCAATTAGTTGGGTCTAAATACGGACACGTTTACGACTGTCTATTACGACAGGGTTAGAATGAATCATAGAATAAACGGTACGTCTGATAACGGCGTGTCATTTTTTCCATTCTGTCTCTACGATCCTCGTGCAGGATTGTCAAATTCGCCACTCACTGCCCCTTATCAGGAGGCAGTATAACAGCGGACCAACAACATCATACAACTGCTATAGAACGATGCTCACCAATATTACTGTTTCCGAAAACGGCCGAATTAGCCGTCTATAATCAAAGCAAGTAGAAATATCGACAATTCCTCGTTGAAATAGATATTATAAGAGTTATGTTAGCTACCTTCATCTAAAAATTCTGCAGGCACTCAACCTGATCGGTTCCATTTGTATTTAGATGATTACTATAAAATGGGTTTGTTATTCCACACTGGGGTCGTAGAACACCGGCCATTTACAATCGAAACAGCGATCTTAAATAGCTCATAATTGGCCCGGCGTTATATGCTACTGAAGATCCGTGAGCATCGTATACTTCTATCGCAGTTGACACTGCAATCATTTAGGTTGGCATTTCCAGGCAATATAATGGCTTTAGTTAATGTTAGTGAGAATCGAGAAATTTTATTGCAGGAATTAGTTTTCTCAGCGACTGTCTCGCTATAATCTCTTTCTATATGAACTAACTAGCTAGCCGTATTAAGGAGACAAGCGTCTACGTATACATACGTGATACGGCAAAGTGCCGATAGCGGTGGCCTTAAAGGCACAAATCACGACATGTCTGTCATTCTACCTATCGTGTATGCATTTGTCTATCGGACACAACGTCAATGTCGTATCACTTACGCATTGGATTGACCGTACAATACAAATATGGAGAGGCACTCCCTATACGCAGAGAGAGAGAGAGAGAGAGAGAGAGAGAGAGAGAGGCGATGCAATTCGACTTCAGATAAAATGAGAAATGAAACGTCCTAAATGAAAAATGTAAATTTTTCACATACTTCAAGCAATAATTACGTGTATCTTCAATTAGCCAACAAAAAGAACCAATAGCGCATATAAACAGCAACTAATTATTACATTTAATCAATTATAACAAGCATAGAAGAGGATCTAATGAATATAATATACTATATATGAATAAGTATAAGAAAAATTATCTTATGTAGCTGTCATTCAACTTTACACGTAAATACTGCTGATATGACCATTCGACCAAATTTTTCTCTGAACGCTGCGCTTATCTTGTAAGTACGACGGCTTCAGTTATCATTTTCGTGAAGAAGGCATCATAGAAGTGAATATTGATCAAAAATGAATTATTACTCGTTAGCGTTTTCCCGTCGCGTCCTGTCGATGCCCTTATGACGTAAGTATCGTACCGTATAACATGAATTCTATCTATTAGAGGAGTACTCGTACAACATACATGAACTAACGCTCGAATGAAGACAAGGTGACATAAAGTTGCTAAGTAGCTAAACGAGAACTTAATCATCCTAATAAATACCAATCACTCATTGCTTCTTATGCTTATCTAGTAGCAGTATCTACCTTTCTTCCTTACATTCTTAGCCAGATTATCTAATCGACATAGGCTTTGTTCATACGTGGCAAGGACACAAATTTTTGTTTTCCTCATGTTCTCGAATGATCAAAAAAATCAGAAGAACGCGTGCGCATTGTTAATTGTCAGTAGTAATTTTGCTCTGGCCAGTAAAAGTGTTTTGGCCAGCGATGCTCTTGCGTGTTGGCTAGCTACGATAGAACTAATAAATGTCCTGAAGCTCCCGCTTACTATTCTCACACAGTTCCAGGGGCTGGACGGTATAATGGACGTTGATTGAAGCACGCCCCTATCATAGCAGTTGTTGATGAATATTTTATTCGACCTCACCGAGCCTTTAGTAAGAATCGAGAAATTTTGTTGCAGGAATTAGTCAGGCACAACGTTATCGGAAGTCGTGTTTTCACGGTCCATTCAGGACCGTTCTTCTGTTCTCAAATGCAAACGACAGCCCAAGCGAGCTGGGCATCAGCTCGAGTTGACTGCCATCACCCTGTTATGCATTGAACCAACTACAGGGTCAAAGATGCACGTAAGCATGTGAAGATTAGGTGAATGCAAAGAGAGGCCATGAAAGGACCTATTACATACAGCCAAACCGACTTTGATGCCGCTTTCACCCACCGCGCTTCGTAGATTTCAGATTTACTATATAAAAAGGAATAGCTACAAGCTATTTAGAATAAGCAGTTTGCTTGAGATCAGCAGTTCACGTTGCTCTTAAACATACGCAAGACATTTTTCAGTTCTCTAACTGTGCGTATCTGCAATACGCGTCGCTTTCTTCAAGAGTGACGATAAAGGGTCTATTTGGTAATAAGTTCATGGCGCCAAAGTGAGAATATGGAGCTCGGCGAGAATCGAAGTCGTGCCCCAAGAAAGGTTCTGTGTCCTTTATTCTGTGACTGGCGTACTTAGTGCGCGAATGATGCCATGACATATATACTCACTGAGGCATGCTCCATTAGGTTGACGGGATAAAAAAAAAGGAGACAGCTTTTGATAGAAACTCTATCACAAGAAGACCTTATGAAGAGAAACAACTTGCCAGCAGCTGACATCTTATATAGGCCGGTATTGTCTCCCAAATGACTAATAGAAGCCAGCCTTCCAGCGGTATTATTATTTCTCCAACTAGTTTCCCTAGCTACTACGCCTTCCGCTTCGAAAGGCTCAAATACTTTGTTATTTGTGCTTTCGTTTGGCCGTTCGTATCATACGATTTTTCATGCGTTTTTTTTTCCTTTTTACAAAGGACTTTTCCGTCTGACTAAATCACTAACCGCAACGCCGTGTTATCATTCCTGCCTAGTACAGAATACGGAAAAATAGTATGGTTTCATTTGTATTTGATACGTTTTGCATGAGGGAACGCCATTGAAAAAATGCAAATTTTCCATCGACTAATACAGCGGAACGTAAACGTTTTCAGTAAACGCTTTATGATTTTCAGGAGTTGTAGGAGCGCGTGTAATTCGTATGGCTACAATGAATATATCGAATGGCATACATATTTGACTTTTTTAAACGGCGGGCATAATATGTAAGGTTCCTTTCGGCTTACAATACTAAATAATACCGTATCAGCGATACTAGAACTGCTAATAGTAACAACAGTTACAGTAATAGTTGGGTTATGTACTACACTAGCGGTAGATTTCAACACGCCGATAAACAGGCCAAAGTGTATTACATCTAGTTCCGCAAAGGTGGAGAGTGTGCCACCTTTCACAGTGATCTAATGAGCATGTTTTGTCATAAATTCGGATAGGTACTTCTAGATCCTTTGCGTTGCTTTAGCACTATCTTGTCAATCTGTCAAGACTTTAACGAGCAGCTCGTTTTATCCGTAAAACGTCGTAGGGACAAATGCGCTAAACGGGAACATAATTACTTGATTACAGTCTCACACTGGCTGTCAAGGATGCAGGAGCTTCTTCACCTTCATTTGCCATGCAAATATAGTAAGAGTAAGGCCTTATCGGAAATGACGAGCAGACACATTTGGAAGAAATAGGCAGCACTTGTGAAAAGCTGCTCGAAACATAGAGGTGTTGCAATTGCCTCGATATAGCTCATGCTCCCAATATTTAAAAATCCAGGCCCATTTTATACCGGCTTGAACAGACTGATACGTACTACAAGCCCATATCATGCAACATGTATAGTGCATCATAGTATATGGGTGTAAGAACAGAAATTACGTTCACTCGTGATTCTGTTTTGTAGAATGGTATGAGATCGTCAGCAAAACACACACGATATCGTTAATCTTCGCTAGACTTGATGAAGGAAAGTTGGCCATTTACTCTAACCGAATGGGTCGAGAGCGGAACCTTCGGGAATTTCGCGCCCCACTGAACACTCACTTGAACTAATATTACAAAGAACTATAAGCGTGCTTTTGTTAACAAATGTCACGAACGGATGACAAACAAACGAAATCAAGTCAAAATATAGTTTTTACCCCTATAAGTTTTTACCAAACGCTATATCGAGCGCTCTAATCACTAAGTAAGGCTACTACCGGAAAAACTATTATATGAATGACTTATTTGATTGTTCTTACAGAGAACCAGATAAAATAAACGTGAGTGAAATTTAAAGAAAAATCCATGACGAATTTCTGGGCGCTCGAGCTGGTGTTAGGCACAATTGTTAGAAAGTTTTCTACGCGTCCAAATCATGGTCGATCGGTACTCTGTTGAACTGTTACGGCTACCCCCTTTTCTTAAGAAACCGGGTAAGTTACCCAGTAGCTCGAGTGATTTGCGCTAATAGATGAAGCCCATTGCATTGTCAAAGCATCTTCCATTGCCAGTAAAATCAGGCCCTATATGCATGTCAAGTGAGACGATTTGTTCCTCGATAGTAGGTAAAAAGCTAAACGGAAGGCAATGAAAGAGAGTTCTGCAAACAGAGTCGAAAACTACACCAGTAGTAAAAAGCCCAGCTATGCCATTGCCTCAGTGAAAAGGAAAAAATCATCCAGATAGAGCATTAATGCTCTGAATGGTCGCGTCACCACACTCAACGGTATTTGGCAAGAGACAAATCGTCTGGGTACAGCCATGGGTCATACCGATAAAACGTTGTAACCATCTTTTACAACTTAACCTGACAAAGCTTCTCGCGACGCTCTCGACTGACACTTATTGTTGTTAACTTTTCAATCAGTATTTCTGTTTGATACGTGTCTTTATATTCTGGGCTGATTTTAGCCCAGACATATATTTTTACTACTTCCGTACTTACTC